GCCATTCCAAAGCTACCCCTCCTCACCCCTCAGGTCTCCACTCAAGTAACACTTCCTCAGAGAAACTTCCCTGATGCCCTAGACTAGGCCAAGCCCCGCGCCCCCCCGCCATTAACTACTGCAGCACCCTCCGCATCTCTTTCATAGTACCCTTTACAGTTCGTAGTTATTTGTGTGAGCATGTGATTAATGCCTGCCTTTCCAAATAGCATACAAAGCAAGGACCACACCTGCTTTATTAGTGACTAACAGAGTAGGTACTCAGGAGTATTCAATGAATGAACAAATGATTCTAGAAAGCTCTTCAAAGCCCACATATCTTGGGGACTGGAATAAGTGTGGCAACTCTCTCCAGTACTCTGCCTCAGGCAAGGAACAAGGGCCCAACAGGAGCAGGAATGAGGAAGAATCTGAGGCTGAATGGGTCTCACCTTTTTGCATCTTCAGCATGTCGATGCCAAAGTGGGACAGGTGCTCAGCCAGGTTGGGGTCCAGGACCATGTCATCTTCATCATATGAGTACACATCTAGGACAGTGGGCAGGAGCAGTATCAGAAGGGGTCCTGGCCTGGCCACCAATGCCACCCCTGCCTTGAGAGGCCTTGGTGGGACAGAAGGATGAGCCTGTAGGGTAACCCTCTCAGCTCCCTTGAACCTTCTGGGGATGGCTGTAAGGGAAGATGGGGTAACAGAGGGTAAGATTGGAATTCACTGTGACTCTACTCCACAGGATAAGTTTCTAGAGTCAAATGGATTGGGAAGGATGCTTACTGATCAGATATACTGGTAACTTCTAGGAAGGGGACTAAGGTTTGAAGGATAATGAAAGATTTAGTCTCATCTGCAATATTTTCATTGTTTATCAAGAGAACACGCTCATGTTTCATTCGTGCCATATAAGATGAGTAACAGTTAAGACACGTCTAGGCATGGAGGTGGCCAAGGAGGGGAGGAATACCAGCTCCGTCAGGTGTGATGGTGCCCAGTTTGACAGCTAACGGGTAGCCTGTCTCCCTGAAGTGCTCCACAGCATGGTTGTTGCCCCCACTGCCATCGAAGTAGCGTCGGCCACAGAGGATGGAGCCATCTGTCAGGTTGAGCCATAGGTTCTCTCTCATGTCACACTTGGAGCACTTCCAGCCACTGACCCAAGGGGAAAAAAACTGAGCTGAAATATGGGTCAGGGGTATCTGGGAGTGGTAGAGGGAAAGTGGACTCCATGGGCCCCCGCCAATCCAATCTCTCCCCTCTTCTCCTCTTCTCTGGACGTCCCCCCTGCTCAGTTCTTCCCTTCCAAGTCTCCCTAATTGTCGTGCTGCCGGCCCTCTCCCCCAGCAGATCTCCCAGGAGGGTGGCCTCTTCACCCTGGCTCTGGCGGTTGTGCCCCGAAGGTAGAGGGGCCAGGCCTCACCAGGGGAGGGATTCGAGGCAGGGTTGTCCAGCTGCTTGAGGTTGAAGGCATGCTTAGACACCTGCCGTACTTCCCCATCCCGGCCTGCACTTCCTGCTTGCGGGAGGCTGGAGTCGGCCGACAGTAGTGCCTCCACCGCACTGGTCACCTGGGGGAAGCAGAGGGTCAGAGACAGAATCCAAACCCCATCCCCATGCCCCTCTAGCACTTATCTTTAGATTTCTCAGTACTTGCCCAAGACATCATTGCCTTGGCCCTGCTTGCCCTAAAGTCTTGGGGAGGGCAGGAGAAAATCTTCATACCCGATCTCTGACAAAGTCAGGCAGTCCCCCCAACCCATCTCGCTGCAATCTCCAGGTAATCCGGCAAAATGACAATCTTTACGTCCTCATCGTATTCAAACTTCTCATCGCTAAGGTCAAACCCGCCTTCGACACCTGATGAGACAGGAAAGAAGAGGGAGAGTAGGACCACGACCACAGGTAAATGTCCTTCCTCTGATACAGTACTTTGTCCCCTCCAGATCCCTAGTGCCACAGATCAGGCCCATTTTTGAGGCTTTCCTAATACTTCTGAGAGCGGGAAAGCCCAGCTTGGGTGGAAGACTGGGACTACGGTAGTACTCACCAATAGCCAGACGGGTGGGCTTCTTTCGTGGAGGGTCTCCAGTGCCTGAGGTAGCGTCCTCCTCTTTCTGCAACAAGGCAGAAAGGACAGGATCACAATGAACACCAGGTAAGGAAGAAAGGGAAGACAGGCAGGATGAAACGAGTTAACCTCAGAAGACAATGGAGCTGAGATTCTCCATTCTCAAACACGTGTGCTGAGTTTTAATGTCACTGACAGAAACAAATGAGAAGTCAGGATGGAACAGATTCAAAATGGAAACCCAGTGGGATGTGCCAGAATGTCCCCAGGCCCAGCCCCTCTCCCTACCAAGCGCCGGGTCCGCCGGAGGTGCAAGTAGACTCGCTGGCCCGTCTTGTTAAAATGTCTCTCCACATACTGCTTCCCGAAGCCCAGGAATGTGTTCATGCAGATGTAGAGGCCACCCTCAGATTCCTGCAGGACAAGAGGCGGGGCGGAAACACAGGGAGGATGAAATCTGGTTCGGTGGGGGGAACTAAGACCTGGGCTCCAAAACTCCTGGTTTCCAGAAGAAAGGTTCTGTTTTCTAACACACTATGGCCCTGGCAGGTCACTTACCTCTTTAGGACATAGTACCTGGCTAAGATTCTCCCCATTCTCCTATGACTTTGATAATCAACAAAGACACCAGGAGATGAATAACACCTATCAGTCACCATTCTTCCTCCTTCTCCTCCTTTGGGTTTGGAGCCCTCCAATCAATTGCAGAGAACTCCTTCTGCCTCTTCTCTGGAGCCAAGAGACCCAGGAAGTAAACCATGGACTTCCGGTGCCAGAAATTACAGAGGCGAAAAAAGAGTCCTTTCCTTGGAGAGGAAAGATCTGCATGTCAGGCGCTGAACCTAAACCAAGGACACCATGACAAACCCCACCTCATCTCCAGGACTACGAAAACCTACAAGACTGGAGAAGCAGAGATTCTTCTAGTACACCTAACCCCAGAGTTTGCCAGCAAGACCAGACCTTTCCTTTACATACTCTGCTAGGTAGTTAAATCCTGGTCCACACTGAGTCTTCTCCCTCCTCTCCTGCTGAAATCTGGCTCCAGCAGAACAATGCCTTGTGTGCAGCTCACAGCTAAACTTGGACCCACTGTGGCAGGGACATGAGGTCTGGCATTCTCAGCCATCACTCTGTCACCTCCCTTCTCACCAATAACTAAATTCCCACTAAAGTCCCAACAACCTCCAACCTCAAAGCCATCCCCCTTTCTAGAACAATCTAGCAACACTTGCAGAGACAGGCAGAACACATATAACCCAGATAGAAAACAGGGAAAGACAAGTGTCCACTCTAAATCACAGCTGACGGGAGAGGATGGGCATGTCTATCAGTGCCTTTGTGAATAAAGTGATGGAGTAGGAGGAGAAGAGAAATTGGGGACAACAGAGGCTTCCCTCAGATCCCTTACATCCAGATTTTTGAGCAAGAGCAGCCATCTTCTTCCTGTAATATAAGCCTCAGTGGCCTTGAAAAATTCTCTGCTGTGATATTTAAAAATAGGGCACCATCGAAGGCAGTGCTTTTCCACGGATCATGTACCACTACACAGAACATGTGGACTGTAACATTCTTAAACAAACAGAGCATTTCTCATCAGGGAGGTCATGTAAGCTCTCTTTCTACTGTGAACCCGATTTGAAGATAATCAAATACGCGCTGGAAGTTGGTTGCAAAAGTACAACTTGGCCACACTGGAGATCTCTTGACTTGAGGTGAGAGAAGTAATAACAAAATTCAAAAATTCCTTTTGGATTATTCAAAGAACTTTCTAGAAGAGAGACAAGACTATAAAGGAGGAATCCATTTGACTTCTTTACCATCATTGGTAATTTGAAAATTGCTTCCCGAATGATGGTAGCTTCACTAAGGCCATGCATCTGATAACCTGGAAGGCATGGGGAAACTCTGCAGGGATTAAACTCCTCTGTTGGGAATGAGAGATGGTTTCACGGAATGGAACCCTGAGCTCTGCCTAGGTGTCCTCTTTTACTTTACCAAAGCCAGACTTCACAGAGACAGCATAGTCATTTGGCCAAACTGCCTAGCAAACCAAGCAAACCACAAATCAAGGGTGATCCCGAAGTGAGCTTTAGATCATGCTCCTATACTCAGCATTTGTGAGTTAATGGCCTTTCCACTCTGACTCTGCAGTTTTCTCTCCTGAGCTGGTCTGGCTCAACACCTGGGCAAGGCCTCCAGCAGAGCCTAGGGGAGGGGGGGGGGAGGGGGACACATGCTGCCCTCTCGCCTCCTGGGCAGAGCTCCCGTCTATTCAGAAAGGCAGAATTGTAGAAGGGGAGGCGATGAAAGCTAATGGGTGGGCGGCGGCTTTGTCTAACCAGTCAAGAGTGCAGCCTTATCTCCGCAAGAAAGAACATCTCGCTGGGACAGCTTTAAAGGTTCCTCTGCTTCTGTGATGGGCAAGAGGGGGGACAGTTCATCTTAAAGAAGAAACTAGAGCTTTCCCCCTTCCCCTACTAGCGACACTCGGGCCTCCCTATCCATATTAACCACACGTAACTGCTCTTAAAATGGCCTTGCTACTTTCAGACACATGTTTAAGAACGGAACAGTGGGGGCACCTGATGCCTCCTTCTACATGAGACTACAAACTCGAAGAATTACGCGCGACAGGCTTTCAGAGATATCCACTTGTGTATGGTCTGACATGTCGTCAGAAGGAGCGCACGCACACGAGATGTGGAGGACAGAACTGCGGGCTCCGGGTGAAGTCACACACACCCCAGCTTTACTGTGCACAAGAGGAGCGGTATAAGAGAACACATGTCCCATGGCGTAGCGAGGCGGTAGCCTGTAGACCAGGGCTCGGCGCGAAAGTCGCGCCGCTGCGAGCGCGGGAAGGCTGCTGTGTGGAAAGAGAGCTGCTGCCTTCGTTCCAAGGACCTGGTAGGGACCCGGCTTGTCAGTAGCCACCGACAATCCGGGTCCCTAAGGCTGGAGACCGGGTCCACAAAGACGAGTGCGCCTTCTCTTTCGACACACCGGTAAGCCCATTCCCCACGCTCGCAGCGAGCACGACTTCCTTCCATAGCCCTGGTCATTCTGCCGGGGCCTGCAAGGCTTGGGCTACCGCCTCCTTTGCGGTGCACCATGGGACATGTGGTCTCTTATGCCACTCCCTGCTGTTGCTTTTAATTAGCTGGAGCTGTCGTGTGACTACTGCACCCGGAAGCCACCGGTTCTGTCTCACCCGCTCTCCGTCTCGTGGTGCATTGTGGGGATTGTAGTCGCTCGCTTCCCTCTGCCGTTCTAAGCTAGTGGCGCAACACAATCGTCGGACTACATCCCCCAAGTGGATATCTGCGAAAGCCTGGGAGTTGGCCTTGCCTGTCGCGCATGGTTCTTCGGGTTTTGTAGTCTCGTGTAGGAGGGATGGGGTTACCCCCCACTGTTCTGGGCCGGGGTTGGGGTTGGAGGGTGGGTACTGCAGTTCTTAGGCGCGTAGTAGTCTGAAAGTAGCCTTGAAGAAGGCCATTTTTGAGAAAGGCCGAGTTACAGAGCCTCCATCCGTGGTTAATATGGATAGGGGGCGGGGAGGTGGGTCGCTAGTGGAAGGGAGGGGAGGGAAAGAGAAGAGGAAAGCTCTAGTTTCTTCTTTAAGATGAACTAGTTCCGCGCCCCCTCTTTTTCCCGCCCATCACCGAAAGCAGAGGGAACCCTTTTTAAAGCATTCCCAGAGAGATGGTTTCTTTCTTGCAGGATACTAAGGCCCCTGCCCCATCCCACTCCCACTCTTGACTAGTTAGACAAAGCCGCCACCCACACCGTGCTTCACGTTATACAGGCTCCTCCCGGTACCTCCCTTCCTGCAATTCTGCCTTCCTGTGTCACCGTCAAGAGAGACAGGGCTCTGCCCAGGCCAGAGCTTGAACTGAGAGGGCAGCATCCTGGTTGGGATCCACCCCCCTCACCACCCCTCCCCTCAAGCCTCTGCTGGGCCTTGCCCAGGGTGTTCAGCCAGACCAGCTCAGGGCCAGGAAAACTGCAAGTCAGAGTGGAAAGGCTTCATTAATACAATGCTGAGTATAGGAGCATGATCTAAAGCTCACTTCAGGATCACCACTGATTTGTGGTTTGCTTGGTTTGCTAGGCTTTAAGTTTGGCCTTAAATAATATGCTGTTTCTGTGAAGTCTGGCTTTGGTAAAGCTAGAAGAGGACTGCTCAGGGCAGAGCTCCAGGGCTCCCATTCCTTGGTGAAACCGTCTCTCATTCCCAACAGAGGAGTTTAATCCCTGCAGAGTTTCCTCATGCCTTCCAGGTTATCAGATGCATGGCTTAGTGAAGCACCATCATTCTCAGGAAGAAATGTTTTTTTAAATTACCAACTGATGGTAGAAGTCAATGGATTCCTCTTTATATTCTTGTCTCTCTTCTAGAAAGTTCTTTGAATAATCCAAAAGGAATTTTTGTAATGTTATTACATATCTCTCACCTCAAGTCAAGAGATCTCCAGTGTGGCCAAGTTGACTTTGCTAACCAACTTCCAGCGTATTTGATTATCTTCAAATCGGGTTCACAGTAGAAAGAGAGCTTACATGACCTCCCTGATGAGAAATGCTCTGTTTGTTTAAGAATGTTACAGTCCACACTGTTCTGTGTAGTGGTACATGATCCGTGGAACCAAGCACTGCCTTCGATGGTGCCCTATTTTTAAATATCACAGCAGAGAATTTTTCAAGGCCACTGAGGCTTATATTACAGGAAGAAGATGGCTGCTCTTGCTCAAAAATCTGGATGTAAGGGATCTGAGGGAAGCCTCTGTTGTCCCCAATTTCCTTCTCCTCCTACTCCATCACTTTATTCACAAAGGCACTGATAGACATGCCCATCCTCTCCCGTCAGCTGTGATTTAGAGTGGACACTTGTCTTTCCCTGTTTTCTATCTGGGTTATATGTGTTCTGCCTGTCTCTGCAAGTGTTGCTAGATTGTTCTAGAAAGGGGATGGCTTTGAGGTTGGAGGTAGTTGGGACTTTAGTGGGAATTTAGTTATTGGTGAGAAGGGAGGTGACAGAGTGATGGCTGGAGAATGCCAGACCTCATGTCCCTGCCACAGTGGGTCCAAGTTTAGCTGTGAGCTGCACACAAGGCATTGTTCTGCTGGAGCCAGATTTCAGCAGGAGAGGAGGGAGAAGACTCAGTGTGGACCAGGATTTAACTACCTAGCAGAGTATGTAAAGGAAAGGTCTGGTCTTGCTGGCAAACTCTGGGGTTAGGTGTACTAGAAGAATCTCTGCTTCTCCAGTCTTGTAGGTTTTCGTAGTCCTGGAGATGAGGTGGGGTTTGTCATGGTGTCCTTGGTTTAGGTTCAGCGCCTGACATGCAGATCTTTCCTCTCCAAGGAAAGGACTCTTTTCGCCTCTGTAATTTCTGGCACCGGAAGTCCATGGTTTACTTCCTGGGTCTCTTGGCTCCAGAGAAGAGGTAGAAGGAGTTCTCTGCAATTGATTGGAGGGCTCCAAAACCCAAAGGAGGAGAAGGAGGAAGAATGGTGACTGATAGGTGTTATTCATCTCCTGGTGTCTTTGTTGATTATCAAAGTCATAGGAGAATGGGGAGAATCTTAGCCAGGTACTATGTCCTAAAGAGGTAAGTGACCTGCCAAGGGCCATAGTGTGTTAGAAAACAGAACCTTTCTTCTGGAAACCAGGAGTTTTGGAGCCCAGGTCTTAGTTTCCCCACCGAACCAGATTTCATCCTCCCTGTGTTTCCGCCCCGCCTCTTGTCCTGCAGGAATCTGAGGGTGGCCTCTACATCTGCATGAACACATTCCTGGGCTTCGGGAAGCAGTATGTGGAGAGACATTTTAACAAGACGGGCCAGCGAGTCTACTTGCACCTCCGGCGGACCCGGCGCTTGGTAGGGAGAGGGGCTGGGCCTGGGGACATTCTGGCACATCCCACTAGGTTTCCATTTTGAATCTGTTCCATCCTGACTTCTCATTTGTTTCTGTCAGTGACATTAAAACTCAGCACACGTGTTTGAGAATGGAGAATCTCAGCTCCATTGTCTTCTGAGGTTAACTCGTTTCATCCTGCCTGTCTTCCCCGTTTCTTCCTTACCTGGTGTTCATTGCTGATCCTGTCCTTTCTGCCTTGTTGCAGAAAGAGGAGGATGCTACCTCAGGCACTGGAGACCCTCCACGAAAGAAGCCCACCCGTCTGGCTATTGGTGAGTACTACCGTAGTCCCAGTCTTCCACCCAAGCTGGGCTTTCCCGCTCTCAGAAGTATTAGGAAAGCCTCAAAAATGGGCCTGATCAGTGGCACTAGGGATCTGGAGGGGACAAAGTACTGTATCAGAGGAAGGACATTTACCTGTGGTCGTGGTCCTACTCTCCCTCTTCTTTCCTGTCTCATCAGGTGTCGAAGGCGGGTTTGACCTTAGCGATGAGAAGTTTGAATACGATGAGGACGTAAAGATTGTCATTTTGCCGGATTACCTGGAGATTGCGCGAGATGGGTTGGGGGGACTGCCTGACTTTGTCAGAGATCGGGTATGAAGATTTTCCTGCCCTCCCCAAGACTTTAGGGCAAGCAGGGCCAAGGCAATGATGTCTTGGGCAAGTACTGAGAAATCTAAAGATAAGTGCTAGAGGGGCATGTGGGGATGGGGTTTGGATTCTGTCTCTGACCCTCTGCTTCCCCCAGGTGACCAGTGCGGTGGAGGCACTACTGTCGGCCGACTCAGCCTCCCGCAAGCAGGAAGTGCAGGCCTGGGATGGGGAAGTACGGCAGGTGTCTAAGCATGCCTTCAACCTCAAGCAGCTGGACAACCCTGCTCGAATCCCTCCCTGGTGAGGCCTGGCCCCTCTACCTCGGGGCACAACCGCCAGAGCCGGGGTGAAGAGGCCACCCTCCTGGGAGATCTGCTGGGAGAGAGGGCCGGCAGCACGACAATTAGGGAGACTTGGAAGGGAAGAACTGAGCAGGGGGACGTCCAGAGAAGAGGAGAAGAGGGAGAGATTGGATTGGCGGGGGCCCATGGAGTCCACTTTCCCTCTACCACTCCCAGATACCCCTGACCCATATTTCAGCTCAGTTTTTTTTCCCCTTGGGTCAGTGGCTGGAAGTGCTCCAAGTGTGACATGAGAGAGAACCTATGGCTCAACCTGACAGATGGCTCCATCCTCTGTGGCCGACGCTACTTCGATGGCAGTGGGGGCAACAACCATGCTGTGGAGCACTTCAGGGAGACAGGCTACCCGTTAGCTGTCAAACTGGGCACCATCACACCTGACGGAGCTGGTATTCCTCCCCTCCTTGGCCACCTCCATGCCTAGACGTGTCTTAACTGTTACTCATCTTATATGGCACGAATGAAACATGAGCGTGTTCTCTTGATAAACAATGAAAATATTGCAGATGAGACTAAATCTTTCATTATCCTTCAAACCTTAGTCCCCTTCCTAGAAGTTACCAGTATATCTGATCAGTAAGCATCCTTCCCAATCCATTTGACTCTAGAAACTTATCCTGTGGAGTAGAGTCACAGTGAATTCCAATTCTTACCCTCTGTTACCCCATCTTCCCTTACAGCCATCCCCAGAAGGTTCAAGGGAGCTGAGAGGGTTACCCTACAGGCTCATCCTTCTGTCCCACCAAGGCCTCTCAAGGCAGGGGGTGGCATTGGTGGCCAGGCCAGGACCCCTTCTGATACTGCTCCTGCCCACTGTCCTAGATGTGTACTCATATGATGAAGATGACATGGTCCTGGACCCCAACCTGGCTGAGCACCTGTCCCACTTTGGCATCGACATGCTGAAGATGCAAAAGGTGAGACCCATTCAGCTTCAGATTCTTCTCATTCCTGCTCCTGTTGGGCCCTTGTTCCTTGCCTGAGGCAGAGTACTGGAGAGAGTTGCCACACTTATTCCAGTCCCCAAGATATGTGGGCTTTGAAGAACTTTCTAGAATCATTTGTTCATTCATTGAATACTCCTGAGTACCTACTCTGTTAGTCGCTAATAAAGCAGGTGTGGTCCTTGCTTTGTATGCTATTTGGAAAGGCAGGCATTAATCACATGCTCACACAAATAACTACGAACTGTAAAGGGTACTATGAAAGAGATGCGGAGGGTGCTGCAGTAGTTAATGGCGGGGGGGGGGGGCTTGGCCTAGTCTAGGGCATCAGGGAAGTTTCTCTGAGGAAGTGTTACTTGAGTGGAGACCTGAGGGGTGAGGAGGGGTAGCTTTGGAATGGCAAAGACAGTTCAGGTAGAGGGAATTGCCTTCATTTCATACCCTCATTCAAGCCTCACAACCACCTGCTCTGGGACAGTTGCTTGTGGCCGTCTAGAACTTGGACTGGACGATGTCCAGCATGCCTCCATAATTCAGCAAATTCTAGGCTCCAGCTGGGTATCATGCTAGATCCTGTGAGAGAGACCAATGTAAAAAAATCCAGAGCTGAGTCTCTTTCCCCGTCTAAAGTGCCCCTTCCCTGCAGACGGACAAGACGATGACCGAGTTGGAGATTGATATGAACCAGCAGATTGGCGAATGGGAGCTGATCCAGGAGTCGAGTGTGCCACTGAAGCCCCTGTTCGGGCCCGGCTACACAGGCATCCGAAACTTGGGTAACAGCTGCTACCTCAACTCGGTGGTCCAGGTGCTCTTCAGCATCCCCGACTTCCAGAGGAAGTGAGTGGTGCCCTCCCCACTGCTGGCCCCGGGCTCTGCGCACCTGACACCCCGTCCCTCTCCTGGCCATTGGCCTCGAGGCACACTCCTCCATCAGCTGCCCTCAGGCCCCTGTTCCAGCGCAGTTTTAGTCCCTGTGACACGGTGCCTGGTGCGCTGTGAGGGGAGCCAGATGTAGGGTTGCACCGCCGTCACTGAGTCACACGCAAACGCCGCTGATAGAGCAGAACAGCAAATCCCAGGGCACTCTGAGGCCTCCTGACTGACTCAAGGGGGAGCAGGTGGTCTTTATTTTAGGCCAGTGACATCAGATAAGCACCTAACATGGCCGCATAACGCCTGGGGGAGAGGGAGGACTTGGGATACTGAGATAGAAGAAAGGCAAATTCTTAACATAAGAGACTTTACCACCTAATTGGGAGAGGGCCTGATGCATATCTGAAAACTTAAAATGTATCGAGAGGTTCCATTCAAAAGACTTTATGAACTGTAGTTATCTTTTTCCCAGGCTGTCTTCTCCCTTCTCCTGGCTTTCTTGGGGAGGAAGCAGGCTGGGAAAGACTGCCTTGGTGCACTGCGTGCTGACATAGTTGAGAAGGGAAGAAGGGCAGGTTGCTGGAAAGAAATGGACTCCACGTTTCAACCACGTAACTCCCCACTCTGGAGGGAGTCTCTTCACTGAGCTGGTAGATAATTTCTCCCATCACTGTTCTGCTGAGCCCAAACCAAAGCCCCTCCAACCCTCCTTCCCTTGGCTCTTAGGTATGTGGAAAAGCTGGAGAAGATCTTCCAGAACGCCCCGGCAGACCCGACCCAGGACTTCAGCACCCAGGTGTATGTACCCAGGTCCTGTGTCTGAAGGCTGTTGAGAGCCTTGCTGCCCATATGCCTCCTCTCTCCTCTGTGGCCACCCGGAGGGGGCAGCAGTTTAGCCCTGGCCCGTTAGAAGCTTTCAGATGATTGCCTTCTGGGCATGCGCTCTCCCTTGAGATCGGTTCCTGTGGAACCTGAGATTTTCCACATTTTAGAGAGTTGTCAAAGGAGGGCCCTGAGTCAGGATTGAGTTGGGGAGGAGGAGGTATAGACAAAAATGAGACCATCATTAGTTGGCTAAAGCCAAGTGGTTCCCTTGGATGTTAACACAGGGCCAAGCTGGGCCATGGCCTTCTCTCCGGAGAGTATTCCAAGCCAGCACCGGAGTCAGGCGATGGGGAGCAGGTGTCAGAACCAAAGGTGAGCCTGGTACTCTATCCTTTTCAGGCTCTGGGATTGTGGGGAAACTGAGGTTTGGGAAACGTCTCAAGAAGGCCACTTGGTGATCTCTTGAGCCCCAGCTCACTCACTGCCCTGGCTCTGCCTAGGAAGTTCAGGATGGCATTGCCCCTCGGATGTTCAAGGCCCTCGTTGGCAAGGGTCACCCTGAGTTCTCTACCAACCGGCAGCAGGATGCCCAAGAGTTCTTCCTTCACCTCATCAACATGGTAGAAGTAAGGCCTGAGAGGATGGCAAGGGAGGGCTCTCTTTGCAGTCTTTCCATCCACCTGCAATTCACTCCCGCTCCCTCCCGCCCCTTCTTGCCTCTGTCAGCCCCACCCAGCCCCACCCCTGTACCTGGCAGTCTGCATGCACTGCGCCTTCCCTGGGGTAGCGAATACACGCAAGAACAGCAGAGCCAAGCAGTGGTCCTTACACTTGACGGGCTTGCTGCCTCATGAAGGATACACCCAAAGAAAATGCTCAGGATACTTACTACTTATCAAGAGAACTACAGGCACATTCCAGCACAGTCCCACAGTGCTGTGAGCAGGCCAGAATCAGGGAGGGCGTGGGTAATTGGGGAAGGCTTCTGCTCTCTTCCTGCACCCCTGCGCTCTCAGGGGTAGGCTCCCTTCCCCTTCTCTCCTCTCCCTCCTTGACCACCAGGGACCCTTTTAGGCCCCCATTCCAGTCCCTGGCTGCCCAGATCTCTCCACCTGCCTCTTTTCCATAGAGGAATTGCCGGAGTTCTGAAAATCCTAATGAAGTGTTCCGCTTCCTGGTGGAAGAAAAGATCAAGTGCCTGGCTACAGAGAAGGTGAAGTATACCCAGCGAGTGGACTACATCATGCAGCTCCCTGTGCCCATGGACGCAGCCCTGAACAAAGGTAGGTGGCTCTCCGCTGGGCCTGCGTATGGGTGCAGTCTGAGGGCTGTGAAGAATGCTTGGACCCTTATAAGAGTGGAGCCCACAGTATATCTGCTTCCTCAGCCAGAAGTCTAAAGCTAAGCCAGCAGAGAGAGGTTGGATTAACCTTGCCCATAGCTCATCAGCAGAGCTGTGTTGAGAAAAGCAGAATCATAGGAATACATGTTGGGTGGGGCTGGAGGAGTTGAAGTAGTCAAGGACAGAGCGCCAGCAGGGCCAGGCTAAGGAGGGAAAGAGGCGGCACCCTCTGAGGGATCCATCCACCAATTCTGTCCCCAGAGGAGCTTCTAGAGTACGAGGAGAAGAAGCGGCAAGCCGAAGAGGAGAAGCTGCCACTGCCAGAGCTGGTCCGGGCCCAGGTGCCCTTCAGCTCCTGCCTGGAGGCTTACGGGGCCCCCGAGCAGGTGGATGACTTCTGGAGCACCGCTCTGCAGGCCAAGTCAGTAGCTGTCAAGTAAGTCCTGTTGGTCCGGGCCGGAAGGTTTGGGGCCTGTGTCAGGGTCATCCCAAAGATGCCGTGTGCCTCTTTCTCGTTCTGCCATTCCTTTTTTGGGTGGAATCTCAGGACTGTATCAGTTGAGGCCTGTAACCTGGCCCCAGTGGGAACCAAGAATCCCTTGCAGGAGCAGACTCATGTGTTACCTTGTCCTGCCCAAACCACTCCCTCTTCTCTCATGGCACAGGGCCACTTTTTAGTGCAGCATCTCCACTCCCTCAATCGTGGCAGAGCACAGACTCTTAGTAGAGAACAGACTGTGAATTTCCAGAAAATGGGTTTGCTTTTTGCTCAGATGTTGGCCAGAGCTGGAGACCTGTAAGAGTGCTTGGTCTCAAGGGAGTTCAACCATCCACCGCTTTGCTGCTTCTGTCAATGAGACAGCCCTTCCCCGGGCTTCTGCTACTCCTTGTTTGCAGACACTCTGATGCCTGCCCAGGGCAAGATAAGAATACAAAGTATCTTCTGGGCTGTCAGGTGTTCTACCCATGAGAGGCTGAACCCCACGGTGGGGAGTTTCAGGATAGGAGAACTTGGGATTGTCTGGCTACCAGGACATTCTCTCTTCCCTAGGACCACACGATTTGCCTCATTCCCTGACTACCTGGTCATCCAGATCAAGAAGTTCACCTTCGGCTTAGACTGGGTGCCCAAGAAACTGGGTATGATGGCTGGGACAAGCAAGGGAGGTTAAGCAGAAAATGCTAAGAAGGAAGGGGCCTTTAATACATGTAAACTAATGTTTCTCTAACTTCCCTCTGAAAGAGGAAAACGTTACCTTAGATGTTTCAAAATATGTCTAGTTTGAAAAGCACTGACCAAAAATTATTAAAAGACTACTTTGATTTTATAGTTACGATTCACAACCAAAAGTGATTTCCATAGTTTAATTTTTATAACTGATGTTATTTTTATTTTGATAATCTTGAAATAATTAGCTCCTGTGGGTCTTACAGGTCCCTGATGACTTTGAGAACTGCTGATTTAACTTCATTTCTTAGATGAGTTGGGACCCACACAAGTATAAAGTCATTCTGTCCCACAAGTTGGAGGCCCCCTTCCTTGCCTACAGCTCATTTGTTGTCGTCTAGGACTAGAATCCAGGTCCCTTGACTCCCAGGCCACGATTACGTTGATCACACTGGGAGCCCTAAGATGAGTACTCGGAACAGTTCCTTATTACAGAGCAGTGCCGAAATGCGGTGCAGGGGCCTGAGATGCCCCAGGTGCTTTCTCAGGAGGGCCTTGGAACTCCTGAGGGTGACCTCTTCCGCCATTCCAATTACAGATGTGTCCATTGAGATGCCGGAGGAGCTGGACATCTCCCAGCTGAGGGGTACAGGGCTGCAGCCTGGAGAGGAGGAGCTGCCTGACATTGCCCCACCCCTGGTCACTCCGGATGAGCCCAAAGGTAGCCTTGGTTTCTATGGCAACGAAGACGAAGACTCCTTCTGCTCCCCTCACTTCTCCTCTCCAACATGTTAGTGACTCTTTTTCCTGCCTGTCTCTCTCCCTTGCTGATGGGGGGGTCTTTTCTGCCTGCCTCCCCATGACCCTGTCCTTTGTGTTTCTCCTGTCCTCCCTTTCAGGTTTCCTCTGCCCTCTTTTGGTGGATGTGAGGAGCACTGCCAGCCACATTCTCTGTGTGGATGGCAGTAGCACTGGCTAATTGCCTCTCCATTCTTGTCACCTCGTTGGTTGGGGGCAGGGGCTGGGAATCATATTCCAGAAATAGGGCCCATTCTGTGAGAATGGACAAGGAAGGGGATCCATGGGGGTTCTTTAGCCTCAGTTCTGTGCCTTTAGGATACTGGACCCACATTGTATTGTCTGTCGTTTTCGTTTTGGGATAAGGTGCCAGGCTGTGAAAGGAAAATGCATGGAATGGAATGGTTGGGAGAGGGCCGGGGGGGAAGGAGGAGGAGCAAAGAGGGTCCCAAGGACTCGGTCACTGTGCCCGCCCTTCTCTCACGATAGCCCCCATGCTGGATGAGTCGGTCATCATCCAGCTGGTGGAGATGGGCTTCCCCATGGATGCCTGCCGCAAAGCCGTCTACTACACGGGCAACAGCGGGGCCGAAGCCGCCATGAACTGGGTCATGTCGCACATGGATGATCCAGGTAGGCAGTGCTGGGTGGCAGGGCCGGGCAGGGTCACCACGCTCCCCAACACATGGCAACCCCTTCCCATCTGCAGATTTTGCGAACCCCCTCATCCTGCCTGGCTCCAGCGGGCCTGGCTCCACAAGTGCAGCTGCAGACCCCCCACCAGAGGACTGCGTGACCACCATTGTCTCCATGGGCTTCTCCCGGGACCAGGCCCTCAAAGCTCTGCGGGCCACGGTAGGCGCTGTCCCCAGCTTAGGACTGGAGCCTCTGGGGTAGAGAAGAGGGTGGGAGTGAGGTTCCATCCTTCGTGAGCACGACCAAGGACATCGGTGCGGTATGGCCATGGCTGGTCTCCGCCCTTTTGTGGCTGTGATGAAGGAGCTGAAGCTTTCGCTGGTGGTTTTCTTGCCTCTGAACTTGTTGGAAATGTAATGCTTTTCTCCTCCCCAAGAACAATAGTTTAGAACGGGCTGTGGACTGGATCTTCAGTCACATTGACGACCTAGACGCAGAAGCTGCCATGGACATCTCGGAGGGTCGCTCAGCTGCCGACTCCATCTCTGAGTCTGTGCCAGTGGGACCTAAAGTCCGGGATGGCTCTGGAAGTGAGTGTTGCAGGGAAAGAGGACAGGCCTGGTAGAATCTAGCCAGCCTGCTATGCCAGCTCCTCATTCCGAGGCAGCTCTGCTCTGCTTCCCTCACGGGGCAGAGCGGGCAGAGGCTTCCTCCCAGTGACAGGACTTCTGAAGGTGGCATTCTAGGAGGTGCCTACATTCCCTGAGTGTGAGCTGTTAGATCTTTGGGCCATCACTCACGGATCCCTCTCCCATCGTCTTCTCTGCTTTCTCTCTCTCTCCTCCCCTAGAGTATCAGCTCTTTGCCTTCATTAGTCACATGGGCACCTCCACCATGTGTGGTCACTATGTCTGCCACATCAAGAAGGAAGGCAGGTGAGAGCCTGGCAGTGTGCCTTTGGAATGGGGGAGTGCTGCTGGGGATGCGGGGGGACATCCTGGGAATCCTGGGGAAGGTGAAGGGCTGCCTGGTGGGAGCCCCAGAAGCCCCAGAGGGCCGAGGGAATGCCTGACAGCGCAGTCGGCAAACTACGGCCTGAGGGCTGAATCGGGCCACTTGCTTTTGTAAGCAGTTTTAACGAGCAAAGCCAGGCTTAGGCATTTATGTATTGTCTGTGGCTGTCTTCATGCTGCAGCAGGAAAGCTGAGTATCAGAGGCCCGGTGGCCTACCAGACCTGAAGGATTTACCATCTGGCCCTTTACAGAAAAACTTTGCCGCCCCCCCGCCTTACAGGAATGGGTGGGGGGATGGCTGTAAAGATACTGGAGGATCTGCAGACACTGAGCAAGGTGTCTAATGACTTTGGCGAGATTGGGACGCTCTCTTCAGACAGGTAGCACTAGACTGTAGGTTTGGGGGCCTTTCCCCAGAGTCTCCAGGATTGAGCCCAGAGGCTGTGGCAGAGGAGCCTGGTTGAAGCACTGTGGCCTGCCCAGTTGGTCCATCCTCTTCCACCCCTCCCCACCTTCCCCAGATGGGTGATCTACAATGACCAGAAAGTGTGTGCCTCTGAGAAGCCGCCCAAGGACCTGGGCTACATCTACTTCTACCAGAGAGTGGCCAGTTAAGAGCCTGCCCCGACCCCTTACCACGGAGGGCAGGGGATAGACCACCTGGCATGAGGGAGAGGGGCTGGGGGATGGACTGAGCCCGCCTGCTCTGTACCCTTTTTCTTTCTGCCCCTCCCTCCCCCACAGCAGGGAAGAAGCTAGAGGCCCTAGGAGAATGGCCAAGCAAAGTGGAGAGGCGCTCAAGAGACTTTGGGATTAGAGCAGGAAGGGGACGGGAGGGTGGCCGCCTGTCTGTGAGGAGACTATGTTGCTTCCCCTCCCCCTGAACCCCTGTTCCTCTGCTTCTCTAATCCCCCCAGCTCCTGGTGTGGAGGGGGCTTGTTTGTGTGTGTGTGTGGGTGTCGCTTTGTGCAGCCTCTTCCACAGGACGGGGTGTTTCTGCTCCCCTCCCCCTTTGTTTGTTCCCTGTGTGGTCAAGCCAGGAGGGATATGAGGGAAATGGGGACCCCCTCACCCTCCTGCCTCAGTCTTTCCCCCACCCTGTCTCTTTCCTGTTCTTCTCTGGAAAATGCCAAAATACACGATGTGAATAAAAGTACAATGGCTATATCGTGCCCTGTTTGATACCTTGTGGACACATATCTTCCCTGGGGCTGGCAGGAGGGCCGGCTACTGAAAACTCCCAGCCCTGCCCCTTCCATAGCCAGTTTTCTACTTCTCAGTTGTCTATAGCTCTTGGGAAATGGAGGATGAAGGGAGGACTAGGGGCTCACTGATCAGGGGAAGTGGAGTGGGGTGACAGAGCGAGGGGCGGGGTGAAAAGCCCTTCTTTCCTTCCAGAAGTCACACACTTCCAGCAGGGGGCTCCAGTGGGTGTTTCCCGAAGGTCCCTAGTGGCTAGGAAGCCCCGGGCCTAGGCCCCTGGCCCTGCAGTCACTTGTCCCGTCTTGGCCAACTGGAGCAAGGAGTGGGCTGCTCCTCGGGGAGGAGCTCTGAACTGCCTCGTCCTTAGCTGTGCAGCTTCTGTGCCAGCGGGGGCCATCGCTCCCTCTGAACCCTGTCACTTGCCACGTAACTGTGGGCCGGCCAAACTCTCCCTGCCGGGGTCAAAGGTGCCTGCTCAGCAATCTGGGATATAGCTAAATACTTGGATGAGGGAAGGGAGTTCCTCTCCCCGAAGTTGGAAACATGCCCCTCAGACGCCCCCACCCCACCCCCGGCTCAGTACCCTGAGTAATGTGGTCTAGGCCAAGCAGTCGGAGTGGTCGCGCTTGCCAGCTAGTTCCCCTGGGAACCACTTCTGGCTCCCTAGAGGGTGGCAGTCTTGAAGCGCTGGTTCCCCGAGCGCAAAGGCTCAAAGTTCTCGCCTTCTCCCGAGTCAGACGTCTAAGGCTGAAGCGACTGAGACTCGGTGACCCTAGAACGTTGCTACAAGAAAGGGGGTAACGTCAGAACATTGCCACAAGGGCGGCGGGCGGGGCGGGGGGTAGGACTTGCAGGCAGGGGCCGGGCTAACCATGGCCGAGGAGGCGGGGTTCTGTCTCACCGCGCTCTATATAAGCGGGCAGTGGCCGCGGCTGCGCGGTGATCCTGACCTTCAGTGTGTCGGCTCCAGCGCCATGGCGCCCTCCAGGAAGTTTTTCGTGGGGGGGAACTGGAAGATGAATGGGCGGAAGGCAAATCTGGGGGAACTCATCAACACCCTGAACGCGGCCAAGGTGCCCGCCGACACCGGTGAGCCTCATCGGGGTAGGGTGAGGAAGGGCGGGAAACGCCCTCCTCCGAGCTACCGGGTGTGCTCGTAGACTTGGATGCAGGCTGAGAAGGAGGGCTGCTGGGGACCCGGACACTGACCCCCCCAGCCACAGTGCTGGGTTGTGTCGAGGGGGAAATCGGGGCCACGTTTAACGGTGCGCTCGGACAGTGGGGAGAGAAAGGACTTTCTAGTCTTGGAGAGGAAGATGGCCCCAGGGCGCGGACGGGGCTGCACCATCGGGAGCCGGGCGTGGGAGTGGAGACTAGCACCGTTGCGCGATCGGGAGAGGCTGGCGACCGCCCTGGAGTTAGAGGATGGGGGGTAGTGGAGGCGGCTGAGTGGGTGTGCGGGCCTCTGGTCACCTGCGGCTAGGCCGGGCTCCGTGCGCCGCCGCACGTAGCCCGAGACTCCTCCCAGCGCCTTGCCTGGCGGGCTGAGTGCTCCTGCCGCGCTGCCCCGGCCTCCAGAACTCCCCGCTCTAATCCTTTACTCTCCGCTGCCTGGACAAGCCCTGCCTTCTGCAGAAAGGGGCTGAGCATATGCCAAACAGGCTGAGCAATTTGGGAATGAGGAGCGGTCCTACGGCTTTCTCCAACCTGGAACCGGGAAAGCGCAAGGCCTCCACGAGCCGGTAGCTCCCTGCCACCCACCGGCAGAGCGCTCAGGCCTTCCCATCCACCTGAAACACAGAATCACCGGCCTGATCAGAAGAGGCATCCTCTTCTGGTTTATTCGCCGGAGACCCCAATTCCAACCCCAGGAGTTGGCTCCTTAAGTCTTTGCTGAAAATCCGTGCCTTGCCTGTGGGAGATAGGGATGAGCTATTTTAGAAGGGAGGTGGTGTTGGCCCCCAGGGAATGCTGAGTCTAGGAGGCGCCCAGGCCCAGAATAGCCCCGGGGAAATCAGAGCCTCAGCTGTTAAAAGAGCAAAGGGCAGGGCCATGGCCTCTCAGGGGCACCTGGAAGGCTCTAGGAGTTGGAAGCAGACCCACTCTGGGAGGTGCACAAAGATCATCTTGCTGGGGTGAAAAGGGGCGGAAAAGAGAACTAAGGCAATTGGTGAAGGCTAGGGGGCTTCGGAGCACTGGATGGAGCCTGGAAAATGTGATCTCATCCACAGAAGTGGTTTGTGCACCCCCCACCGCCTACATTGACTTCGCCAGGCAGAAGCTAGATCCCAAGATTGCTGTGGCTGCCCAGAACTGTTACAAAGTGACTAATGGGGCCTTTACTGGGGAGATCAGGTGAGATGCAAGTGGGAGAGGGGTGTGTGGGGACCCTTCCCTTACTTCCCTTTATTGAGTGGAAAGCCACAGGTGGGCTCCCTGTGGAACTGTGGCTTCATCTCGTCCTATAGCCCTGGCATGATCAAAGACTGTGGAGCCACGTGGGTAGTCCTGGGGCACTCGGAGAGAAGGCACGTCTTTGGAGAGTCAGATGAGGTTAGTAACCAGGAGAAAAGATAAGTGATGCCTTATTCCAAGAGTAGTGTCTCACCAGCTCTGTTCCTCAACAGCTGATTGGGCAGAAAGTGGCCCATGCCCTGTCGGAGGGACTTGGAGTGATCGCCTGCATTGGGGAGAAGCTAGATGAGAGGGAAGCTGGCATCACTGAGAAGGTCGTTTTCGAACAAACCAAGGTCATCGCAGGTATCTCTGAAGGGACCTCTGAGCCTAGCCAAGGTTATGGAGGCACAGAGGGTCGGGTCAGATGCTCCGCAGCATGACTTGATCCCCATACTGCTACAGGAAAGGGGAAGATGGGAGCCCTTGCATCGTTTCTGTCACTTCTGCTCCCACCCCTTGGTATTGATGCCTCTTAGAGTTCCCTAAATAGCCACCAGGGGGCAGCATGTCACCCTCTTCGTTATTCCTGGGTACCAAGCTGGATAGCTCCTTCTTGTTCACCCTTCCATCTGTGATCTCTGTCCCACAGATAACGTGAAGGACTGGAGCAAGGTTGTTCTGGCCTATGAACCCGTGTGGGCAATTGGTACAGGCAAGACTGCAACACCCCAACAGGTAAACAAGCCCAGGACCCCACCCTCATCCTGCCTTGCCTTAGTAGAACTGGATAGCAGAGACTATCTGGGCCAACCCCTCCTTTTAAAGGCAGGAGCCCCCAAGCCCAGAGAAGGGGAGAATGATTTGTCCAAAGACATCCATTCCATGGCCTGGGGGGTGTGTGGGTGTCAGAGCCCTGGTGTTCTGACTGGGATCCAGGTTCTGGCATTCCCTGAAGCCCCACTGCCTCGCTGCTGGTGCCCAGGGGTTTATCCCCTTTCTGGGAAAGGCAGAAAGATTCTTAACCTAGTCTGACTTCTTGTTCTAGGCCCAGGAAGTACATGAAAAGCTCCGGGGATGGCTTAAGTCCAATGTCTCTGATGCAGTGGCCCAGAGCACCCGCATCATTTATGGAGGTGAGTGGGTTGGGCTCCAGCTTGATGTGGGGTGGGCTGAGAATAGACTGAGCCCTCCTTAGTTAGACATGGAGGTAGGGATGGAGTATGCCCATCCCAGCTCTGACCATTCTCTTCTCTCTTCCCAGGTTCTGTGACTGGGGCAACCTGCAAGGAGCTGGCAAGCCAGCCTGATGTGGATGGATTCCTCGTGGGTGGAGCGTCCCTCAAGCCTGAATTCGTGGACATCATCAATGCCAAACAATAAGCCCCATCCGTCTCCCCTGTCCTTCCTGCTATGCCAAGGGCAACAGAGCACAGAAGCCCAGAAACTGCTCCTCCCCCCGACACACATGCTTCTGATGGTATCACTTGCCCCTTCTCATGGCCTAATCCAAACTGTGCCTCTCCTTTACCATTTCCATCTTACCTTGTAATGTTTGGGACCAGGCCAATCCCTTCTCCACTTACTATAATAATTGGAACGAAACGTCATCAAGGTGGCTTCTCCTTGGCTGAGAGGTGGAAGGGGTAGTTTGTTCCCGGGTCCCTTCAGTCCCCAGTGTAGACAGGACAGAGAAGCCACCCTCCTCTTCCATCTCGCACCACGGGGCCAGGGCTGAGAGAGAGCCCTATCTTCCCCTCAGAGGCCAGGGGTTCTGTTCTCACCCCTGGTGCCAACGCCTGTGTGTGTTGTGTACGTGAGCAGTCCCACTTGGAGCAGGGGAAATAAACACCTGCCACTAAGCCTTGTGGTTCACCCTTCATTGTACTTGTTTCCACATCATTTCTTTTTTTTCTTTTTTTTTTTTTTTTTGAGGCAGCCACAGAACTCTTGTACCAAAAAATACCATGGAGAGGTTTTTACAACAACTTATTTCTTATTATTTTTACTTGAAAAAAATGTCTTGCGTACCAGGGCACCAAAGCCTTGAATAACAGCTCTTTCTCTTCACCCCTGGGTGGCTCCGGGGCTGTTGAGCTCCCCACAGACTGGGTTGGGGGTAGGGGCCCAGCCTCGCCTCCCTGCCAGGCTCCCTGGATTTAAGTAGCTGGTCTAAGCCAGCAGTGCCTCCCCTCCCATTCTTGGGAGGGATGGCATCAAGGCCCTGCAATCTGTGGCATCACAGGGTCACTGGTAGAGCAGGTAGCGCTTCATCGCAGGGGGCAAGGGCAGAGCAGATACCTGGCCCAGTCGGGCAGCCCCCAGTGCCTGGCATACAGACAGGCGGCTCAGGTGCAGAAGGGAGTGCGGCTCCGCTGGGGGAGAGAAGGAGGGGAAGGTAAGTAGGAGTGCAGCCACCAACCAGACATCCTCAAACTACAGGATTCCCTTCCACACTCCTGCTCTGAACCTGCTCCTGCCTTGGTTGAGAGAGATCTAAGGCACCCTGAAGCTCTGTATCTGCTCTTAGGGTGGGAGGTGTCACATGCTCCCAGCCAGAGCTGTGGGTGAAGCTCTAGCTTAGGCCTCTAAGCAACAGGGCAAGGTAGGTATCACAGGGGTGGAGCTGGCCCAGGCTTCCATTCCGGAGAGGCCTTGGGAAAGGGGCTGATGGGGTGAAAGGAAGGATGGTCCTCCACTCCACAGCAGCTGACCTGAGGGTGATAGGAGAGGTATCCGGCCTCTGCTAAGACTACAACTGCATTAATCCCAAGTCCTGGCTCCACTGGCTCCCCAAGGAGGCCCCTCCCCTGCAGTCCCACCCCAAACTGCCTCTACAGCTCTCCTTCCAGGAGTGGTAGGGGGAGGGGGCCTCAATGGCTCCTTCCTGGGGTTTGAGGAAGTAGGTATGCCTGTGTCACACCCTGGATGCCTGGCACTGCCTGTCCTCTTCCTTTGAAACTTGTACACCTAGCCCTGCACCCATTTAACCCTTTGCACCTCTGCTCCAGGAGCTGATAGCTCCTGTAAAGCCCTAATCCCTGGAGGGCCTCCCTCCAATCTGGCACTCACCACTTACAGCAAGTTGCATTCCCAAGCCTCACCTTTACCTCTACTGCTGGGAGGATTAAATTAGGTAACAGCTGTGAAGACCCTTAGCCATTTCTGGCACTGAATAAGGGGTTAGGGAGGCAGGTCAGATGAAGACTTGTTCCCTCTACTCTTGTAAAGGCGTTGGGTTTCCAACCCAAACCACAGCCACCAGTGAAAGAACGCTGTCCCACACCTACCCCAGGCCTCACCTCTCCTTTCGCCGAGGTAGCTGATGCGGACCTGGCACTGGCCCCAGACAGCGCTTACCGCCGGATAGAGGGTCCTGCCCTTCAGTCCGCGGAAGGCTGGTCCCAGGTAGGTGCCCCCAGTAGCGTAGCCCAGAGTTCCCTCCTCCATGTCCAGAACCACCAGCAGCCTCTCCGGCACCTCCAGCTGCTCACCCTGAGGTCCGGCTGGATATTGGGGGGCCCCTATCCCCTTACTCTGATGGTACAGCTTTCCTCGTCCAATGTCCCAGCCCCACGACTCGCTGTTGCTGCCCAGCAGCGCCGCGTAGTGGTCGGCCTGCAGCGGGGCGTTGGCCGTGGCCACACCCACCACGGCATGGGTGCCCCGCTGCTCCGGGGGCCAGCTGATTTCCCAGGCGTGCAGGCCCCTCGAGTAGCCCCTCTTACCCCGGGCCCCATCAGTGCTCTGGGCTACGGGCCGCCGTTCAAAGCACAATCCCCCTTCCTTGACCACGATGTTCTCTGAGCAGTCTTTGGGGTTCCAGCCGTGGCGCCGTTGAGTCTCCAGGTCTGGAAGCGGAGCAGAAAGCAGTTCCTCCAAGCCTTCGGGAGAAGAGTGGTCCGGGTACAGAGCCTGTGGGGTGGGGGTGCTGCTGCTGCCCCCTGCCAAGGCCGTCTGGCCCATGGAGATGAGGAACTGGAGGATTCCCCGAAAGAGTCTTGCTGGGGCGCCTCTCTTCTGCAAGCTGCGCTCCCGTTCGGGACTGACCTGGAGAGGAGTTGGGAGAAAAGAGGATGTAAAGTGCGGGGACCTGGCGGGGGCTCCTCGCCCACGCGTGCCATCCTTTCACTTGTTTGCCCACTGCGCTGCTCCGCCCTCTTTGCTCCCCCAGCAACTTGTCCTCACCCATCTGTCCCGGTCTCCCGTGGTTCTCTCGAGTTCACCCCCTTCGGGCCTCTCCAGCGCCGTCCCCCTCGCCTGCCCAGTGACCGCGCCGCTGGTGGCTCCCCAGCATCGCTTGGCGCCCCGTGCCGGGAGGTCGCCGGTTCCGCGGAGCCCCGGCCGCAGAACGCCTGCCGCTTCCGCTTCCAGCTTCTCCTCCAGGCTCTGCCCCGCCCGGGCGCAAACCGGCCCTCCGGGCGGTTAACCCTCTCATTGCCGCTCCCTGTCGCTCCCCGCGCTGAGGCCACGCCCCCGCCGAGGAGACCGTTCCGCGCGGTTAATCCCTCTCCTGCCTCGCTTTGGGATCTCTGGAGGTCTGTTCTGCACTGTCAGTACCTTTGAGCCACCTGGGCAACCAACTCCTGAGCCGCTGGATACGAGGGGCGTGGAGTCAAGGGGGTTCTTCCGTTGTGCTGACCTCCGTTTCCTTGATCTTGTGATTCAGGGGCACTGTTTCTGGGTAGGTCTCTTTCTGATCGGGTTGTGAGTCAGCCCGTTCTATGTCTGAGGTTCTGAGGGTAGGTCTCTTTCTGACGGGGTTGTGAGTCAGCCCGTTCTGTCTAAGGTTCTGTATTCCCGGCCCTGAGCACTGACAGTGGCATAGGTCTCCATGCTGTTCTAGTCTTGATCCTGGATGTCCATCCGTTCCTAAAGTGTGGGTCTCATTTGGGAGAGAGTAATGATTAAGAACTTGGCTGTGAGTGAAACTATGCTACTAATTAGCTGTGCGACCTTGGGGAGGTTACCACACTTTTCTGAACCTTTTTTTTTCTTGTGCAAAATGGGGAATAATGATGTCAGTTACCTCACAGGTTGGTGTAGAGTTAAAGTAATCCAGTTAAAGCACTTAGTATGGAGTCAGGTACTTAGCATGCACTCACTAAGCATAGCTCTATTATTTACCTAACACTTACGAAGCACCCACGCTGTAGAGAGGCAATATAATATAGCGGTGAAGGATGCACGCTGTGGAGCTAGACTGACTGGGTGTGAATACCTGAAGGCCAGTATGCAGGAGACCTTGGGAAAATTTCTTAACCTCCCTCATGCTGTTTCTTTTTCTGTAAAACGGAAATGCTCTTGGTAGCTACTGCCTGAGATACTGATGAGAATTCAGTGAGGTATTATACACGCAAAGCACTTGGAACAGTTTCTGGTTCAAATGTGATCATGTGTGGAAAGCACTGAAGATCAAGCAGTGAATCCTCAAACAGTTTACAAGGACACTTATAAAAAGTTTATCATGTAGTAGATGAAATTACGGAGATATAATGAAAGTATAGGGGAGTAAAAAGGATGGGACAGCTAATCAGGGATCAGGCAGTTAGGAAAGGAGACAACAGGTGGCTGAATCTTAAGGAGTGTCTAGGAATTGGCCTGAGAGGTGTTTCTGCAGGAGCGGGGTGAGCTGAGGGTTGCTGCACGTAGAAGGCAGTCCGGGCAGAGCTGGCATTAAAAAGGCCAGAAGCAGTAGTTGCCCTTGGGGAAGTTCAAAGACTTCAGGGTTGCTACAGCCACAAAGGCAGCATGGAGACAAACCTAGAGGCATCAGTGCCAGATCAAGGAGGCCTTGTAAGCCAAGTTAAAGAATGCAAGTGTTAGCCTGTGGAGAGGGGAGCCAAGTAGGAGAGAAGCAAGAGAAGAACAAGGTCAGATGCTCATTTTAGAAAAACCACCCTGAAAGGCCTCACGGACATGGACAACACTGTGGGGATGGGTGGCGGGGTGGGGTGGGCGTATAAGGAGACTAAATGGTAATGGAAAATAGATAAGAAAGATTATATATATATTTTAAAAGTATATGTTTTAAAACAGGAAAGAAAGAAAGAAAAAAAGAAGAAGAAAAAAAAAACCCTACCTGGCAGCCATACTGAGGAGGCTTCAAAGGAAATAGGGCATGAAGCACCAAGACTGGTTCCAGCAGCCCCGCTGACAAGTGTCAAAAGACTGAAATAAGGCAGTAGAAATAAGGATGAAAAGAATTTAAGAAATACTGAGAGGACCCTGGCCATGTAACTCAGTTGGTTGGAGCATCATCCTGATATGCCAAGGTTGCAGGTTTGATACCCAGTCAAGGCACATACAAGAATCAACCTATGAATGCACAAATAAAGTGGAAACAAATCAATGTTTCTCTCTCCGCTCGTCTCTCTAAAATCAATAAGTAAACATTTCTTTAAAAAATAAAACCCTGATAAAATTGAAGGTTTGGTGACTGATTAGATGCTGAGGCCAGGGAAAGGAAAGAGACAAAGGGAGGTTTCTAGCCTGGAAGAGTTTGTTGGATGGTGGTGCCACCAATGAAGATGGAGATGACAGGAAGAGGAGCAGCCGGGGGCAGGTGCAAGAAGGTGGGAAAGAGAGATGGTGAGTCTGGTTTAGGTCATGGGTTCCTGGGCAACAAGCAGAAGGAACCATTCAGAACACACTTGAGAATGACAGGTATGGAGGAGGAGGTAGAGACCTGGGAAAGAGAAATAAACTTGGGAGATGTGTCAGCCTTTATTCAGGAATTGAACTACGAGAATCAGTGAGGGGAAATGGGGAGTGTGTAGAGTGAGAAAAGGGTCAAGGAGAATACAATGTAGCAGAGAATTCAGGTTTGACTACTGAGATTGTTTAGGTCATTGGCTGGTGTGGTTAGACAGCTCCTGTGGGGTATGGGAGGTGGGAGCCCAGGCTGAGGGGGCTGAACTGGTACTGTGTGTCAAACACTGGGCTACAAGCTTCCCATTTTGGGAGGATAGAGTCAGGAGAGGAATGGGGACAATTATGCCTTGTAGTCAAAATTACCCTTGAAAATCTCTAACTCCTATTAGGTACAGCATATGTTAGTTTTGAGTCAAATACAATATGTGGCAGCACATGTACAGAGTGGGGCATAAGTAGATTTACAGTTGTAAGTACATGAAACACAGAGTTTATTCTTGTATTATTTATTATATTATTTTCCACACGAACAACTTTAAACCTACTTTTGCTCCACCCTGTACAATGATGTACAGAATAAAATTTTATAATATTTTAATTAAAGAGACAGGAAAAAGTATATTAAAAAGAAATGTAAACCTGAATACTTGTCATACATCCAACCTGGATATTCTTGCCAGTGTGACAACAGAAATAATGACATCATGACTGTGGATAATGGCCTATGTTGACTATCAGTGGAGGATCTGTGTGATAACCAAGCTGATGAAAACTTGGGGAACAGAAAGGCAAGCCTAAGCCATAGCCAACTCCAGTTCAGCTTGAGAAGTTGCTGATTGTTCAAAACATGGTATTTACCAATTGTTGCCACTGGATCTTGAACCGCTCGAACATTTATTGATAATAGCTCAAATATTCCATACTGGTACAAGTAATTTTAACTTTTTACTTTTTTATTGATATGTAATATACATAAAGTACACTAATCTTAAATTGCTCAATGAATTTTTGCATATAGCGGTACCTCTTGGTACTCTTCATTAATTCATTCTGGAACTCAAGACAAGTGCTGAAACCAACGAGCACCAGAAGATGAAGAACTTTCTCTTGTGGTGCAGTGTTGTGACTTATACAAGTTCTAAGTGCGACGAGTCCCAGGCAGGCGCTGAGTGCTGAAACTTTTTTTTTTCCCTCATCAAAATGAAACGAGTACAGGGTATGACAAGTTCTGAAGCTGGCAAGTACCGAGGTATGACTGTATTTTTATGCTATGCGACCACCATTTCTAGCATTAAGATCAAGTATATCTCCAGCATCCCAAAAGGCTCCTTTTGCCTCTTCCCTAACACTACACCCCTAAAAGTCACTACTCTTTGACTCCTATCAATATAGATTAATTTTCTATTCTTCTTCAATTTCATATAAATAAAACCGTATAGTATGTATTGCAATTTTTTATTTTTTAAACCTTATTTTTCAAGATTTTATTTTTAGAGAGAAGAGAGGAGATGGAGAAAGAGAGGGAAACACTGATGTGCAAGAGATGTATCAGTCGGTTGCCTCTTGCACACCCCCAACTGGGGACCTGGGCAGCAACCCAGGCATATACCCTGACTGGGAATCAAACCCATGACCTTTCAGTTCAGAAGCTGGCACTCAGTCCATTGAGCCACGCCCGCCAGAGTGTACTGTATGTATATATATTTTTAATTCTCACCTGAGGATCCTCTGCCTCTTGTATGTGTTCCCACCAGGGACCAAACCCATAGCCCAGGCATGTGCCCTGACCAGGAATAGAACCTGTAGCCTTTCAGTTTCTAAGACAACTGCTCCAACCACTGAGCCACACCAGCCAGGGCTAGTACGTATTTTGTGTCTGACTTATTCTTCTCAACATTATGTCTGTGAGTCATCCATATTACTGCATAAAATAGTAACTCATTGTTTTAATTGTTTTACAGTATTCCATTGTATGTATATACTACAATGGATCTACTGATGGACATTTGAATTGTTTCCAGTTTTTAACTATTATAGAAAAAGATACTATGTACATTATTGTACAAGTTGTTTTGCACTCATTGTTATGGGTGCATACTTATATAAACAATTGCTGGTTTATAAAAAGTTTACAATGTATAGATTTAACTATACATGTAATTTTCAGGTTTCTCTCCATAGAGCACTTTTATTCAGAAATTAAATCATTCAGGTATTTTGCAGTATGGAACACTTCAACATAGCCATGAAGATTTGAATTGATCTTTTTTTCCTGTTCATTATATCTTTATCTTCTGGGGATTTTATCAGTTCCTCAAACATTTTATTAGTGTTTCTCTGTGGCTCTCAAGAAACCCTTCAATTTCTTTCACAAGCCACTTGCTAGGCCACTTACACAACGAGTTTCATTTCTTTGTTAATAAAAAAAACCCCTTAAAATCCTAAATACATTCTTCCCAATATGCATGGATTGGTTTAGGCTTGATTATTTCCCTCTCTGATAGAAATGATGCAATTGACAATACTGAAGAACTCCCAACTCTTCCAGCTCATTACCGCATTAACATTAGGGTCAGCATTCATGGCTCTGGGAGTCCACAAGGAATCTCAGCCTCACGTATGTGGCTTTGAAAGAGCAAATCATGCTTAG